CCCATGGACAAAGCTCCTGTTCTATGCATTTCCCCCCATTCTTCTGGTATACAAGGTCCTTCTGAAAGTCAAGTGAGACAAAACAAAGGTTATTCTTATAGCCCCTGCATGGCCACGCCAACACCAGTTCAGCACGCTATTGGATCTATCAGTAGCACCCACACTGCTGCTCATGCCCCTCCCAGACCTGATCTCACTAGATCACGGCCGTTTGCTCCACCTGAACCTCAAGGCTGTCCACTTGCCCATGTGGAAGCTGCATGGTTGAATCTGGTGGAGCTGGCCTGTTCAAACCCATCTACTAGAGGACTTATCTAGCCACATGGAAGCGTTTCTCAGTGTGGTCTTCTCAACAAGGCCTCTCACCAACTCGGTCACCTCTCCAGTCCATGCTGGAAAACCTACTCCATCTGAAACAACAGGGCCTAGCCATTTCATCAAAGTGCATTTAGCAGCAAAATCAGCCTTCCACCGTGTGGTGGGTCAGTCTTCTCACATGAAATGTCCATTCTCTTCCTCAAGGATCTAGAGAGGCTTTACCATTAAATTTGTGAACCTATCCCTCCGTGGTCCTGTCGAGACTCATGGGCCCTCCTTTTGAGCTGTTGGCATCACGCCCTCTGTGGTATCTCTCCTGGAAGGTCAGCTTCCTGGTAGAGATTACCTCAGCTAGAAAGGTCTCAGAAATCAGGGCCCACACATGAGAACTGCTGTATATGGTGTTCTTTTTAAGAACAAGTTCAATTGTTCCCCCACCCAGCGTTCCTCCCAACGCTGGTCTCATAATTTCATAGTAATCAGGCTATTTTCCTGCCATTTTTCTTCCCCAAACCGCTCAAGAATACGAGGAGCGGCATCTTCATGTGCTGGATTTTAGATGCACACTGGTCTTCTAAATTGAGAGAAACCAAACAGTTCCCTAAATCCATGCCACTCTTTGTGGCAGTAGCAGACAGGATGAAAGGTTTCAGCACAGAGAATTTCATCCTGGATCACTGCCTGCATTCATATGTGCTATAAGCAAGCGGGTTCTCTACCTCCTGCCATCTTGACAGCACATTCAACAAGAGCTCAGGCTTCATCAGCAGCGTTTCTGGCCCAGGTCTCCTCCCACTATGCCATCACCTAACAGACCAGCATGATGCCAAGTTTGGCAGAGCCGTGTTGCAATTCACATGTTCATGAACTCCAATCCCACCTCCTCAGGTACCACTTGGGAGCCACCTAACGTGGAATTGACATGAGCAAGCATTTTCCATGTACCTAAAATTACTTGTGCATCAGACTCAAATTCAGCATGTGGAGATGCTGCCAAATCTGCTAGGCCCTGGACTGGGGTCTTTGACAGGAGGGTATTTTATTGAAGGGCTGTAAAGAGCTTTTGAGAGCCAGTTGTGCCGGTTCAGTAGGAAGGTGAAGCCAGAACCATGGTAAAAATTAGAATGAGGAGGTTCATGAACTGAACCTAAACTATCTAAACCCTTGTTTATAACAGGGTTCAAAAAACAACTAGATAAGTTCATGGAGGATAGATCCATCAATGGCTATTAGCCAGAATGGACAGGGATGGTGTCCCTAGCCTGTTTGCCAGAAGTTGGGAATGGGCAACAGGGGATTAATCACTTGGTGATTACCTGTTCTGTTCATTCCCTCTGGGGCATCTGGCAGTGGCCACTGTCGGAAGACAGGATACTGGGCTAGGTGGACCTTTGGTCTGACTCAGTATGGCCGTTCTTATGTTCTTATCCTGCATCCTACCCTGATGCAACATGTATCGTTGTCCCCAGTTGTGGAATGAATTGCAACCTGGCACAGTTTAGAGCAACCTTAAGGTTGCTGTAGTTGGTCCAGATACTGAACTGGCCCCATCAAGGTCAGGGTGTGGAAATGTGGTACAAAGCAACTTTTGCTCCCCACCCTTTACCTGTGCCCAGCACTACTTTAGTACAGCCCGATATTTGTCATTGACTCGTTGCATTTCTGAAGCCTAAAAAGAATTCCTTACATCTCTTCTTTATTTTGGTAACAAGATTTTAACTCACAACTCTAGTGTTCCATAGCTTTGTTTGAATTAAATTTGTGTTGGAGCATTGTGGTTTAGTATGCTTTTCATGAGGCTTACATGTAAAACTGAACAACTCTATCACCAACTAGTTGACTTTTTAGGATGGGATGTTCAAAACCACTCAATATTGACCTAACCCTTCATCTTCCTAAAAGTCAATGGGAGTTTTACCATAGCTCTTTTAAAAATCCTACCCTGAAAGTTCACAGATTTAAAAAAAAAAGTTGTATTTTTAAATAACGAATTCAGGTTAGAACTGAGAAATGAATATTTATTAATAGAAACAAAATTGTCGTCGTAAATGGCTCATATTTGAAAGGCCAATGAACACCTTAACAAAAATTTATTTAAAATCTAGAATGTGAAAAAAGCAACAGAAAAGGCAGGAATTAACTTGCATTAAAAATCAGTCATAAAAAGAGATGAAATGAAAAAGTTGTATTCTTGATAGCTACACCATGTCAGTGTTGGCAAACAAATAAGAAAAACTCCCTCTTACCCCTCAAATGTCAAAAGTTAAAAAAAATGTTAGAAGAAGTCTGTTTTAATAAATAAATTAATATTTACTCAATAATACATAAAAGCCATTGTAGGGTGAAAATGATGGTGATTTCTTTCTGCTTTTCCCTATTATATCTACTTCATTCTAGAGAGAGTCAGAAAATGGAGGGGGAAATGCTCTGAACATTTTTTTTTCTTTGTATAACCAAAATCTAATTTCAGCTAATTTTTTCCAACCAGATCTAATAAGAAATTACTAAATATCAGTAAATGTCTGTTGGCTTTTTCCTTTGTTTGGAGAGAGGAATGAAAATTTTTCTGTCTGTCTGTCCAGACTTTGCCATGCCACCTTGCAAATGTCTAGAAGGGACCCAAGAGACTCATATGCGTTCTTCGGTTACAACCTGTTCCTACATCCATTTAGGTCCATGACAGTTTTGCCGTATTGACGACAATGGGAACAGGATTGCAGTGAAAAATGATTGTTTAGAAATATAAAAAGTATGGAAATAAGTTTGTGATGTTTGTTCAGCACATTGTGAAAATGACTGGTTTTGATCTCTTAAAATCTAAGCTCATTGATACACAAGTTTAGACACTTCTAGATAAGTGTATGCTGTGTTAATAAAAGTTGATGGTAACATTTTAGAAGCTGCTTCGAGACTAAAAAAGAACCAATGTTTGATCTAGCAACAATGACAAAAGCATTCTTTTCTTTGTGATAAAAGAAAACATCTATGTGGATCTGCAAATATGTCAAATCATTTTGAAGAGGCTAGTAAGTGCTGGTATTTTTTTGTTGTTGTCAAGTGATTTTATTCTTTATCATTAGACTTCAAAGAAGAAAGAAAGTGTGTTCTGTCATCATATTCATCAGTCATAATTTTTGTAGACGATTCTTGACACACACTATGTTTTACTGTGCTAACAAGAGAAAAGACCAGCCATTAAGTTTATGTGTCTTGGTTTTTCAACAAAGTCACATATCAGGAATAATGCTAGGAGTATGCTAATAAACAATATACAATGTTGGCCAACTGGGAGTAAGAAATATTTTCTAACTAGTTCTAAAGGGAAACAATGTTTTTTTTAAAAAAGAGTGATTGTTGTTTACGCAATATATGTTGTTCTATATGTCAGCATCAAAAGCCTCTTGTGAAGAGCTCAACACAATAAATCTTTGATCCTGATTGTCATTATTTAAAGGTCTCTGCTAGATTTAGATGTAGTAGAGTGTTTTCATGCTTACCTACATATAATAGTAAGATTTTGGATGGCATCTGTTTAGAATGCATTTCGGCAGACGATTTCCTTGTCACTACATACAGTCATAAAATAGGAAAAATAATTGGAACATCTTAAACAGCAGACCTTTCAGATTTTATTTGTAAAATTGAATGAAAACCAGACTTGTTCTTCAAGTGTATGGTGATTTCATTTCTCCATGCAAGGCCTTACCTTGGTTAAATTGCATGAAATTTTTCAAGTTGGTTCAAGTGAAAAACAGCCAAGAGATCTGTAGTTGTTTCCATTGAAAACCACCATGGCACATTTTGTTACTGTCATTAAGAAACTTAAAATAGTCACCGATGGCCTCAGCTTATTTTTGAAAAACAAAAGATTTGTAAAGGTATCCCTGTGAGAACAATATATCAGACTGGTTCAGGACTGACTTTGGTCATTCAAGTAGCGTTTCATTTAATTGGGAAAGGAAGGCATTTGTTCATCCCCTTTCCATTGCTTCCGGAGGGCTTTTGGTTGGAAAGGCACAAACAGAAACGTGAGGATATATCTACACTGCTGCTGGAAGTGAGCCTCCCAGCCTGTGTAGACAGACTCATGCTAGCGGGGACTTGAGAGCCAGAGATCCAGCCCAAGCTGCAACATCCACATTGCTATTTTTTTGAGCACTGTCTCAAGCCCCACTAACGCCAGTCTGTCCACCTGGGCTGTGAGGCTCCCAGCCATAGTGTAGACATACCCTTTGGTTAATTCACTTTCCTGAGAGGCGGTAAGTAGGTTGACGGAAGCATTCTTGGGTTTGAGGAGGAATGGGATTAGGATACATGGATTTTATTCCTGGACCACCATTACTGCATTATGGGCCTGATCCAAAAGCCCATTAATATAAAAGGAGGGACTCCCATTTGACCTCTTTGCACCTTACCTTACAAATCTGTAAACACGGGCATTATCACAGTAGATAATGCAGTGGGGTTGTAAAGCTTAAAAACTGCCATTTATAAAGAGCTACGAGAGATTCAAGTAAAAGGTGCTACAGATGGCAAAGTGTTATTTAATATTAATAATTAATTCTTAATGAAAACACCTCTGGAGCGCTTTAAATTATCACTTTGAACTAACCATTTGGAGTTATAATGAAATGGTTCAGGCTGCATATTTAAACACATTTTCTCTACCCTTGTCTCTTTAGAAGAAGACCTACCAGTGCATCAAGTGTCAGATGGTTTTCTACAATGAATGGGATATCCAAGTTCATGTTGCAAACCACATGATTGGTAAGTGAAGCACTAAATCTTGTGGAGGATAGATAGCCCTTTCTCCTTCTCGTGTTCATCATTGCCTGCAAAATTAAACAGAGTTAAGGAGAAATTAATTGTGCAACCGTCAATGATTTACCTAGGCATGATTGATTTTTTTATTCATATTATTAGACCTGATAAAGCATTAGCATGTTTTATTTTCTGCAAGGGCTAGTTTAGACTTCTGCAGAGAATTATATATCTACTTCCAGTCAAAACACAGGTGATTAACAAATTAAACTTCTAATCATTTTTGCATTATTGAAAACAAACTAACAGGAATGGTTAATGAACTGGATGTTAGCTTTCCGTAGAGTTTTAGACAGGTTTTAATTTCAGAAGTTATTATGATAATGACACTACAGTGTGCTGCTCAAGCACCTTGGTACCAAAATCAAAACTAGCAAGTTTCTGTCTTTAGGAAACATAAATAATTCAAATGGCCATAAAAATAGTATTATATGTTCTGTATAAACAGTCTGGAAACAATTTGGAGTGTTTCTCTCTGTACAAAATTAAACACCATATTTTATTTTTAAAAATAAGGAATTGTAGTACTCAATAATAGGGTCTGCATTTTTAGATACAGACGTTTAAAAAATATTTTCTATTTGGATTCCTGATCCAAGCATGGCTTGATATTTACAAACCTATGTTAGAGTTGTGAGGTGGAATAAAACAAAAAGAGCATTTTCTTTAATATTCATATTTTCCCATTACTTGCTTATTCCCATGGGGTTGCCCACAAGGTTTTCAATTTGGTAACCACTCAGTAATAGCTCTAAGAATTCTACCAATCAATTAAATTTATCAAGCACATCTTTTGCCCGCTAATAAAATAACATTGCCATAGTTGTCTTATTTTGTTATTAGCCTCTTTTCAGAAATTTCACATAGCAAGCAGGGAATCATTGATTTTACACTTACTTCATATTGTTTTTCTTGTAACGTAAAAAAGTGCAAATTGCAATAGGTACAGTACAGCAGAGCAGCCAGTAATCACATGTCCAGTTGGTAAGAAGTTTCTCTTTTTAATTCAATAACTCAGATATGTCTGGGCTGATATAACAAAATATTTTATTACAAGCAAGCTTGTGAATTTCTTCTGTGAATTTCAGTAGTTTGGTTGGACTATAAGTGACCTGACAAAATTAATGAAGTAGTGAGAGAAATAGCCTATTAATAAGTTCTACTACATTTTAAATATGAACATTCAAGTTCTTTGCAGAAAAATGAATAAATACAAATTATGAGTTGGGCTTGAAAGGCAGTTCAGTGGTTTGCTTGTTGGATTAAGTCTCACTTTTGACATTCTTAATCTTTGGGGAAAGATAATGAACTCCTTCATAATGTTAAATCTGGATCAGTAACTTAGAATTTAAAAATAGAACATTATGCACAACAGAACACACCTTTCCATTGTTTTCTTTGGATCCCAGTGTATGGCGTATTCTTAATGATCTTTTGCAGCAATTAGTGGATCTTGAGATTTTGACAATGAGAAATTGTCAAAAACTGTGTGGGTAAGGATAATGCTGGCATGTCAGACAGTCTCAAACAGTGTGGTTGTTTGCCACCGACGTCCCATCTGCCTCTGATTCCTTGGTAAGGGCATCCCTCTGCTCCTTAAATATTTCGGAGGAGGGTGGGGGGGGTAATTTTGTTTAGTGGGTACAGCAAGATGGATCCAGACTAGTGTTGATCAGATATGATGGTAATTGAGGTTTTCTTAAAACTGAGTTAATGAGATTTGTATTTTATTCTGAAATGTTGGATGAGGTTGAATGGGAGGGAGGTCCTTTTCCTTAGTAGGTGTTGTATCAACCATGCATGCTATTGCTTCATGACATAACCATAGTGACACAGATTTACATTTGCTTAATATAAAATCTTCCCAGCGTGGGAGGGGCGGGGAAAGGCGCTCACAACTCATGCTGGGAGATTTGCAGGTCATGCTTTTGAAGATCTGTGTTCACTGGAAGTTTCTTATGTGTACCGCCAGATTTAAGAGTTTAGCTCTTAATGGTGCAACCCTAATTAATAAATACAGATTTGGGGAAGGTGGAGGGGAAAATCAACAGAGTATTGCTGAGAGTTGTGAACATGACCTCACTACCGAAGCAGAGGAAAACAAAAGTTTCTGTTTTCCAATTCTGTTAGTCCTCTCACCGTTTATTAGATTTTTCCTTAGCTGTCTTTCTAATTTTACTTCTCCCTTCCTCCTGCTCCCCTCTTTAATTTATTTCCTTGTTCACTAGCATGACAGGCCTTTCTCCAAGACCATATCCTGTCTACAAAGAAAGGTTAAAAGCGTGCCATCAATCTGTTTAAGTTTTTAGATTGACCTTACTGTGAGTGGGAGATGGATATAATAATATATAAAACATGGATGTGTGTGTGTCTCTGAGTATGTATATGTGAAAATAAACAGATAAAACACGTAAGTAACTATCAGCATCTGGAGGCTTCTTCCTGCCCACTCGCCTGCCATAAAACCCTAGTGTTCTAAGCACCTCAATACCCACATTTCTAAATTCAGAAGCTGTGAGCAGTAGAAGAGCCCACTCGGGCTGATAAAGCATTTCTTGCTGCCCTAGTTTGCCTGTAACAAGGATTGGCAGAACAGGATACAGTGTATTTGCCCTTGCAGTTGGAGTGAGGCCCCTTAGCGAGAGAGAGAGAGAGAGAGAGCGAATGGTCCAGGAAGGCAGGGGGGAGGAGATAAAAATCAAGGGGTTTAATAATACTCAGATGGACTGTGGGAGCAACACATACCTTCAGCTTCAGACATTATATCCCCTTCTCAGGAGATATATTTTCCATTTGGACTAATATTTTACCATCATTGTCTTCCTAACCAGTCAATATTTGTATTATATTGATAGATGTGGATTAGCCTTTCCTAATCTGAAGGCTCCCAGATGACTTCAGAGGAATGATAGGGCAAAGGAAAAGAACGGGAGTGGTGGTAGGGAAAGTTGCACAACCCAATGTCTGTCCTTCCCCACCATCTATGCATTGTGCTCCTGAGACCAGTAGGCGGTGAAGGCCCATCAACCTTCCGTCCCTGCTCCCACAGCAGTCTCTAATGAAGATGGCTGTAGGAGCGGATGATAATTATTTTTCTCCTGTGCTTCCATGGCCTTCAGCTAAGCTGCAAGGGCACACATGGTCATGTCCCTGGAACCACCAGTGAAGGCCCCATCCCAAGCAGTAGGGAACAGAGAAGGAACTACTAAATGAGAGAGCAGAAATCAGTAGCAATTAGAAAGGAAGAAAAGACAGAAAAACATAAGAATATTTAAAAAATAACAGAGGCAGAAAAGAATAGTAAAGACATTAAGACAGAAAGGAAGATGGCAGTAACTGCTGGGACACAATGTTGGGACACGGAGTGCGGGAGTTCATCCATCATACCATTGTGAGGAGAGTCTTTCAGAAAATGACTGAGAGCCACTGATGTAGATACATGTTTAACTGATTAAAGAAAAAAATGTTTGTCCTCAGCAATTTTATGGCCTAAACAGATTGATAGGATCCCTATAATTATTCTGTCCATTGGCCAAGGCCATTGGCCTTAAATTGGACTCATGTTAACATCCAGAGAGAGTGGATTCATTATGGAAGGTCACTAAGGCAAATACAGGTTTAAAAAATCTGAGTATGAAACTTAGTCTTTTAAATAAGGCAAGCGGCATTACTTTGTTGGCTAAAATATCTCCACTGAGGGTAGATATTTTTAGGTAGTGTCTGTCTGTCTGTGTCTTTTGTCTAATCAAATATAATATCAAATAGTCATTTAGCAGGGGAAGAGGGATTAGAGGCTATTGAAAAGCCTCTTACTGTTCTCTGTTAAGAGGGTGTATAGTGTTTTTACAGATTTTATTATACATTTCAATCAATCTAACAAGATGGATTATGCCACCTAATGGAAAATAAAATCTGTAGATGACCCAGTGAGGTGTAACCTTAAGTATCTTTGACAACAAAACAATTTACATTTGTTTATGTGCAAGTCTCATACTGAAAGGATTTCAGAGAGATGGCTTTTGTTAGTAATTATATTTATCAGCTACATAGCACTTTATATTTTATATTTTCAAAATGTTGTACAAGCTTAATTAATCCTTACAGCATACCCGTGGTAAGGTATGCAGATAAGTATTTATCATGCCCATTTTATAGACAGAGACGTGAAATACTTTACCTAAGGCAGTGTTTTTCAACCTGTGGTCCGTGACCCCTGGGAGTCTGCAGACTATGTCTAAGATTTCCAAAGGGGTCTTCACCTCCATTCGAAATTTTTTGGGGTTCGCAAATGAAAAAAGGCTGAAAACTACTGACCTAAGGCTACATATAGATAGTCAGTAGCAGAGAGCTCAGGGATTCCTGACCCCCAATTCTTGTTCATTCCTCTAGACCATGTCAAGTAACATCCAAGTTTTCTTAAACTACATGCTGTTTAGCGTTAATGCTATAGAGGAATCTTGTGGACAAAAAGTTTTACAAAGCTTTTTTTTTTTTTTAAATAGACCATATATTTACATGCACATTTGGATCCAGATGGACAAAGGTACTTTTGTTTCTAGAGGTAACTGCTAAGTGCAAACATATTTGTCAGTAAAACTGTTTTACAGCTTTGTGACTATTAGGGGGGGAAAAATCCAAACCCAGACATATTTTAATATTGTCTCAGTGCGGTGTAAGAAAACATATCTGTAATTCCTCTCTTCTTTTATTTTTTCCTCTGAATAAGATACAAAGCTTTTTAGCAGTTTTTCTCGAGAATAAACTGTCTCTTGATGTCTAGAGATGAGAGAAGTTTCCTGGTATCTCTTTGTTTAGCTCACATAGTTTACTGTCGGCTCTGACAGTGTTTTTGTTTTGTTTATTGCACTCCTCCACCTGTTCTTTTAAGTAAATATGGTAAACATTTTTCCTTCTACTTATTTTTTTACATTTGTATTACTTGACAT